CTCAAGGCAGCCAGGGAGAAGCTGAGGCTGGAACATCTCGGCGGAAGGCTCGTGCCCGTTGCAGCGGACGCCCCCCGGAGAGCGCGCTCCAGGTGTGACGTGGGACTTGTCTTCAGACCCCCCTCTCTCCCCCCTACCTAGGCCTGCATCTCTGCAAGGGTTTGGGTGGAGCCGCCCAGCTTGGTTTCTCACGGTAGCTGGGAACCACAGAGACTGGCAGGACACCGTTACCTGCTGGAGGCTTCGAACCTTCCCTACGCGGAGCCAACCCCATGAACCGCCGGCTCCAACCCCCCGCCGTCTGCTGAGCCCTGGGAACACGCGGATACCCTGGTCCTCCTGCCCTGACATCCTGCGGGCTACCCGAATCCTCGGTGCTCTGCCCTCATCCCTCCCCCCATCACCCTGAGCCCCACCTCAGCACCCGCCTCCAGACCTCCACCGCATCTACCCAGAGCCCGAAAGCACCAGGCGGGGGGCGGTGATGGCACCTCCTGCAGCGCACGCTGCCACCCCCAAGCCTCTCCTCTTCCTCTCCCCCAGTTAAACAGGCTTTTGACAAAGTCCTCACTAGAAAACAACCCGAACCAGACCGAACTGAGAAGACTGCCGCAGCGAACGCTGCCAGCGCCCGCCCTCTCCCCGCTGGGGCTCAGAGAGCCGCGCTCCAGCCACGTGCTGCTCCCCGCCGCTGTCGCGGGGCCTGGAACTGCTCCTCCGTTCGCCCCCGCAAGAGCTGGAGAGAGGAACCTGTGTTTGGAAAATGCATTTTGGAGAGAAGCGAGGCCGAATCGGGGTCGTTTTAACACGGGAACAGCCGCCAGGACGGACTCGCAAACCTTCCGCAGAGGAGGCGCCTTCGCTTCGTCCGGGCGCTCAGCCATGGCGAGAGCGACAGGCCCCGGGTGACCCAAGTTCAGTCCCGGCCTCCGAGAGATCCGGGCTCCTGAGAGCGGGATCACGCCCCCTGCCTCGGCAGGAGGCCCGGCCCTGGCTCCGCGCG